AAATCAAGAGATGTGACATGAAAATGAAGACTGCAGGCTTCTCTGGAAAGCTCAGCAGGTCAGTCAGTACCCACATGGTGACATGGGCCTGGGACAGAGCAATAGATTCTTCTTTTGATGGGCTCACAGCTCTATCACCATGTTCATGGTTTCCTGTTGCTTTACACCCCGCCTGCTCCCTTATTTAGCCTACCTGCCTGTTTTGTCTGGTTCATGCTCGAGAGGTTTTCTTTTGTTAATCGAGGTATAACTTACAATAAATTGTACCAATCTTAAGTGTTCTGTTCAACAATTTTTGAGAGCTATCAGCACCCATGACTGCACCATTCAGAACAAGGTACAGAACTTCAATAAGATTCCTCATGGCCCTTGACAATCTAACTTTCCATCCCCAAAGGCAAATATAAGTTAGTCACCATAGATTGGTCTTGCGTTTCATACACATTAAATTATACAATATGTAGGTATTTTTGTATTGAGCTTTCAATTAACGTATTTGAGATTCTGTTAAAAAGATGTTTCTTTCCCCTATTAGGTTGATATGGAACTATGGTGGATCAATTTCTGGACTCTATATTTATCACACTGATCAATTTGCATATCTTCACACCACTCAAATTAGATAGTGGAAGTCCTCCCAACTTTGTTCTTTTTCAATACTGTTTTGGCTATTTAAATGTTTTGCCTTTCCATATAAATTTAAGAATCAATTGTCAATTCTTAAAAACACTGGGATTTTGATTTGAGTTTCAAGTCTTTCAATTCATATAAACTACATCTCTCAATTTATTTACGTCTTCATTAATTTTCTCTCAGATGTTTTCGTAGCTTACAGTGCATGAGTCTTTTGTTAGATTTATTTCTCGATATATGATGTTTTTTTCTTATGTTGTAAACTTTTTTAAAATTCTATCTACCAATTGGTTACTGGTGGTATAAAGGAATGCATTCAACTTTTGTACAATGACCTTGTCATCCTGTAACTTTGTTAAAGTCATTTATTAGTTTAGGCAGGGTTTCTTTCTATTATTTCATTGTTCTTTTTATAGCGCTATTTTCTAAGCAACTTAATTTCAGTTCGTTAACAATGCTGTATTATGATTTTTGGCAGCTTTATTATGCTCATATGCCTGTTCCCTGTTCATCTCTTCATTTTAAACTCTTTTGCTATTATGCAAAAAAAAAAAAAATCCAACCCCCAAACCTTTGAAAATTGAGAGTATTTTTTACTATTAAAAATGTCCTGTTGATTTTATACCCTAAGCATGTCAAATTCTGCCAATTTTT